GGGGGTATGTGTGTTGGGATATATAAAAGATAAATGAAGGGATAGCAGTCAGACAAATAAATGGTGCAGACACAGATAGATATGAACTCTAATTATATTGTTATAAGGAAATTGATTTAGTCTTGGCAAACACTTATAACAAAAATGAGTTTTCTTCCAAAACAATTGACGTAATTGATTAAAAAAATGATTGATAGAAAATTGATTAATAGAAAAGTGATTGCGTGCTTTGGTAGTTGTAGTTTCTAAATAAATTACTGATACTTCATTTGATGATTGTGTAGCATCTTTTTAATGTGTGAATGATAAATAAAACAGCAAACACATTTGCTGGTACTTGAGATAAGCAGAATAGACACATATATTAGAACAATGCAGAATCACTGTGAGACCAACAAGGAAATATGCAAGAAGCATGACTTGTAGAAGGACATTTGATTAAAACATGCAGGTGAGGAGATGCCAAAAATGATGAGATTGGCCTATTTTTTCCACCCTCAAAAGTGTTTTTCAGACATGCACAGATAACCCTGCAGATTTGTATTTGTGGACCCCTTTTCCTAAAAAAAGAAAGAAAAAATAAGATAGGAAAAAATGTCAAAATGTTTGTTAAAGGCTGAAAAATCAATCTACCATGAATCAGGATATGGATACAATTTGAAAAAAAAAAACATCAAAGAATGAGAGATATTTCAGAAAGCAGGTATGTGCAGTGACAACAGTCTGCTCTACCTTGTGTCTTTTCTTTTTGCAACTCATATAATTTATAAACTACAATCACTTCCTTTGTAATGTATAAGCTACAATCACTTCCTGTGTTTCAGATATTAGAGGTTATTCGAGTAATGTCTGTCTCAAATAATTGATTACTTTGGGTGTGGTAGTTAATGAATGAATGACCACTAAATAATTAGTACTTTAAAAATATTCTATGAACTTCTTCAACTTGGAGGCTTTCCAAAGTGAAGTTTATGAATAAAAGTGATGGTGCATTGTGAGCACTCTTTTCTACGGAAGCTAATCCAGGACGACATTTGCTCTGCAGGAGAAGCGACTCAACACCCTTCACATGAGATGTATGCATCAGATCCTTTCTGTCTGGTGGACTGACATGGTCACCAAGAACAGTGTTTTTAGGGTGGCAGGTATTCCATCACTATACACTGATCTAACAGGCTAGTCAGAATAGAAGATCTGAAGATCAACTGGTCCCACATGTCTGGTCGAATGGAGCCGAGATTTAATTACTGTGCCCCGATGACGCATGGGGAGGCATGTGAGGGGCAGAGTGACAGACCATTACAGGGTTTAGTGGTCTTCCTTTCATATAGGGTCCACCATATTTGAGCCTTGGACCAGTTGATACTCGGATCTTCTACTTTGAATGGCCCCCATGACAAGGCAGGCTAAAGGTGATGGCTGGGGCATGTCCGGCGCTTGGAGGATGGCTGGATCCCAAAGGACCTCTTGTTAGGCATGCTACAAATGGGGTCTAGAGCTGTAGTTCCACCAAAACTCCATTTAAGAGATGTCTGTGCGCGAGATATGCTCCCGATTGATTTGCCAACAGACAACTGGGATCCTCTTTCTGAGGACTGAAATGAAAGGAGGATCGTTTGTGGAGAGTAACTGGTGGTACAAAGCCGAATGCTCAAATTGATGCAATAAGGACGAAGGGAAAGGTGAAAACTGAAGCAGTGCCATCAGCAATATATACCTGTGAGAGCTGTCAAAATGTCTGTCATCTCTAGGACGGGTTTGATCTGACACCAGAAAAAGTGATTGCAAGTGCGTTAAGTCATGGACATAGTCGGATGGCTGCCTACTAGTGGTGTAACTGCTTTTGGATTTGTGTCTCAAGGCAAACAACAAGACAGCTATCTGGTCAAGTAGGGCTTTATTAGGGCTGAACCCTTCTAGTGCTGCCTGCTACCAGGATCTTACTGGCCTTTGCTGCATTTAAATAAAATTAAAATTGGTATCAGAGATGGCATGGCGGTATAGATGAGTATTTGTAAAATTCACAGCTTATTGTTAATTAATTGGCTTACGGACCATCTAGAGGTATCTTCAGCTGAGGATGAGAGGGTATTAATTTTAATCACCTTAACCATGCAATACATTCTTGCATTTGGTCATGCAAGTACATTTTGGACCCTGATATAAGTATCTCCTGGCTGCCTTATGCAAAGTACATATCTGATCTGTTTAGTCAAGTTTTAGTTCACCTGACCACCACTAGGTTTGCTGACAATGAAACTCGGCTCTTCAGCCAACAGTTGTACACGTTAGACATTGTCGTAATCAGCTTCCATGGTTTGCAGAAATGTTCTGTTTCGTGTGGAGAAAATTTTAAACTTTTTACTACCTATACCACCTTTTGAAAATGTATCTGTGAGAGCTTTCATACTGACACTCGTTAAAATTTTACTCAACATTACACAGATCAACTTCAAACAGAAGGTTCTTATTTCATTACTAAATTTGACGTGTTGGCGACCAGTTTTGAAAAATTTTTTTAAAAAAAGAAAGAAAAAGAAATCTGGCACAGTGAAAATTTAACTACTTGCAGTCCGGTAGGGTCACAACAGTACGTCAGAACTAACTGGATCAGACCACCTCAATATTACGTGAAGTTATGCATCTCTGATGCCAACGACACATGAGAATTTCCCATTTAGGAAAAGAAAATTACATGTGGACATGGCATCTTTGGAAGGTACTTATGAATTATGAATACCGTAGAACATGAACATTGAGCAGTAAGTAACAAACACTTAGGCTGGGTTCCCATCCCTAGATCCATCTAACAGGATCGTCCATCTCCACAGGGTTTCTCCCTAAATTGTATTCAGCTTAAGTGGCTTAGATGTCTGACATGCCTATTAAAGCTGCTAAACAATAGTTATTTACCCCCCACTGAAGTTAATTGCAATTAAGCGAGAATCACCTCGTAGATAGTTCGATCCAAAGTTGGAAATGGTCTCAATACTATCTGTTTCTTTAGGCTTGGTTCAGCTACCCGGGGGTCCAGAAGAGAAATATAGTTATAAATGAGGTGCAATATGACGTATGGAAGTATCCAATAAGTACCTTCCCCTGGGAGAGAGGGGAGAACAGAATATGTGATGCTGCAGTTGATGGGTCATGATTTCACAGTTAGCAGTCAGCACTTTCCTCTCTGAAAAAAAAAAAGTTCTTTCAAAGTATGGTGGAAACTTGTTTTTTTTTTTTCATGATTCGAAGAAAGTGGGCATTTTCTCAAACCACACCCGAAAAAAGTCTAAAAACTGTTAGATATTTATAAGTTAACCTTACATAATGTGTAAAATTGGACAGAGCAAAACACTTTTGAGCTGAAGAGTCCATTTTTTTTTATACTAAAGAGGCCACTGAATGATGAGACTTTGTTCCTTATGATTCTTATGATTTATGGGAATATCTCTTGTTTAAAACCAGTCCAGTATAAAAAGAAAAGAAAAATTACATATTGACATGGTATTTGGCAACACAAATCTATTTACAGACAAAGAAAAGAGCTGTTATTGGTTAGACTTATATCCACTCATATGTCTGTTTACATTCAAGGTCTGTTTACGTTCAGAAATCCTTATCTTGTCTACCATCAAAAATCTCTTCCCAATTAGATATAAAAAGAAAAGTTGCTGGTGTTGTGGATTTATTGTGAAGGCGTGTGCCGTTACAGTCAGGAAAGTAGTCAGGTGTAGTAAGGTAGGCGGGCAAAGTAGTATTTTTGGCAAATTCTAGTGATGCATTTTTTAGAGAAGAATTTTGTGGGAAGAATTTACAAGATTGCTTATTTTAGAGGTCAGTTTCTGATTTAAGTTATAAATGAGTTTAAGATTGATAAAAATAGGCAGAGAGGTATACAAAGTTCTGGAACAAGGTTGAAAAGTAAATACCACAAATAATAAAAAATATAATAAAATACCAGATTCCCAAAGATGAGCTTTGAGGTTGCTTTTTAAGAACTTGAATATAATATATCATGAATTTATATGTCCACAGAAAAATGACCAAAGATTCTTGCAAACAAATCATCTAAAATTAGTACATCAAATCATATATAGCCCATGCAGTGTGCATTCTTTTTCACAGCGTTCTCATTTTTGTTCTGCTGCATCCAGGATCACTTGTATCTCCTAGAATATCTGAAATCTCCAATGATCTCATGCAATGAAGAAAGGAAATTTATAGTTACTATATTTGCATGAAGTTTTTCCATCTCTGCTATTACTCCAGGTAGAGAGGGGGGATGGATGGTGGGAAGGAATTTATGTCTGTCCAATTGATATCAAAAAGCTGCAGAAAACATTTCATTAATTAAAAAAGAATTTAAGGTATTCCAACCTTTTTCAAGGTCCATCATAGTTTAAAAAACATTGCCAACAGTAAGAATAATAGTTGGTGGGCAGGAGCAAGATTAGATTGCCTTTTATAATGAACTAAACATATTAAAATAGGAAGTTGAGGTAGTATGGAACCCAGGCCTTACTCCGCGGTTGATTTAATATATAAATGTTCAGTAACTAGGTGATTAAAAAAGTAAACCAGTGATAGATTTACCAAAAAAAAAAGGTGAATTGTTCATATTTTTACTAGCCAAATAAGAAAATATTGAACATATGGCTAAAATTGGGCAGTTCTGAGCCTAGGCATAAAGTTCGTCCTTTGCAAAATTAAATGATCATTTGTGAATATGTCTGAAAGCAGTTTGTGACTTTTTTTTTTTCATGACAGAAATTTTATGCACTAGTTTTACTATTATTTACTAAGAGTGACACCTGCCTGTTAAACTGTTCAAGGCTGCTATAAGCTCTCCACACACAGCACTGCTTGTGTATCCTGTGGTTATATCAAATGATTTGATATGGTCTTCTGGATTAAATCAACAAAGGCAATGAAATTTTGATAAGAAACACCATGTTTCAGTCCTTTGGTTTTAATTTCTCTTATTTGTGGAATTAGGTCAAAAAGGTAGTGGAGTATCAGAATTAAATTAAACTGTTTAAGAGCATGTTAATTAGTTTTGAACAACAATCTGCCAGTCCCAGCCCAGGACGGAGAAGTGAGGTATAACTGGGATTCAGACGAGAGAGGATGCTGTGATTTTTCCTGCCCTACGTCATTGAAGGCTTGCAGACCCTGCAGGTGCATGGAGATCCATAGGCGGTGATCAACATATGAACAAAAGCCAGGGTGAACTTTTAAACTAGTTGACCATGGACTGGAAATAATGTGCAAGTTACAAAATACACAAATATGTTTACCATTGCTTTGGTGAAAACTGCTGAAAGGAGCTCAGTTTTCATAAATGCGAAGTAGGTAAAAGGAGACTGTGAATAGTTTACAACACTTTGTTTTGTGCAAGTGCCGTCATTTCTATTGCAGCCATTCATTACGAACCTGTTTCACAAATCATAGTGCTCTCCTTTTCTTCTCCGGGCCATAAGCCTTGCTGTTAAATATGCTACATACTAAGAACTATTTACACAAGCTAGGGATCTTAAACAGCAAACCAAAGCAAAGCGAGGTACCTTTATCGGGGAAGTTTAGCAAGCAGGGGCACTGATCTGACAGCGAGCAGAGAGATAGTTATCAGGTAATATACATAAAATCTAGACAAAGTAAATTTGGATGTCACCTGGCTGCTTAGAAATGAACACACAATTATGATTGCTAATAATTCTCAATATTGATCCGAGTTAGATGTTAACTTTTCTGAATAGTGGGCGAACTGGAATAATAAGACGGAGATTACTGCTACCTGTCTCCATGCATTGAAGAGGTGGAAAAGGGCCGCACTTCTTATATAACATACACAGGTGAGTCGCTGCATCAGGCAGGCAAGATATCAACACATTATTAGCTTTGTTGTCTAGGGAGAACAGGAGCTCAATGTATCCAACTGGATGCTCACAATTGGCTCCATTTGGAAAGAATTGAACGAATAGTAGCCAAAGAGTTTGTTTTTAACTTAAGGTACCGTGTTATTTAATTGGATACTTGTTGGTTGTTTTTGTTTGGAGGATTGATGTTTTTTCATCCGATTTGAACCTTTAAAGTAGTGTAGGGCAGAGAAAAAAGGAAAGAGAGTGAAAAGCCAGCACATCTTACGTTTAATCCAATACTGTTCATGGCTCAGTTAAAGGTTTAAAAGGGTGGGCTCATCTTTCTGTCAGTCTCACCAGCTTTTACCTGGATAACGACAGTGGGAAATGCTTCTTTTGTAAACATACCTCAGTATAAACTTAGACTGTTGGCAAGATCTGCTTGGTAACTTTCCACTTTCCAGGGACTACTGCTGACTGGTAGGATTAATAACTCAATACTGAAATATTAAGCCTCTGCAAAATATCAACTGCTAAGGAGAGAGTTTTTGAAGAATTGCCAGAGTATTCAGTTGTACTGTTACCTTGAGCAGGTCTTCTGGGTCTGTCGGGTGAAATTACAGGTGATAAAATGTCAGGAAAACTATCGACACCCAGTGTGTTATCCACCAGCCCTAAGAATTGGCACATTTGGTTTGGAAAAACTGAGCTTGCCCTCAGTGAGACATTTTAATGCTCAAAGTCAAAATTGTTTTTTAGTTTCACAGACTGCCTTCCCATACCTAGATCGATCTAACAGGATCGATCCATCTCCAAGGGGCTTCTCGTTTAATTGCTTTCAGCTTAAGCTGCTAAACGATAATTAATTATCCCTAGCAGTGCCAGTAGGCGTGACTGACATTTAAGCCGCTCAAGTTGATTGCAATTTAGCAAGAATCCCCTTGGAGATAGAGCGATCCAGCGTTAGTACAATAGGGTCTGGAAATGGTCCCTTAGACACACCATTACACACCATGTATAAGGCTTTTGATCTGAATGATTTGCATGTTATATACCCTCCCATACTAAATGAGAGATTATTCTATCTGTCCAGACAAAAAAAATATATTTGTATGTTTCTTGTTGTTTTAAATTTTGAGAAGAATAGTACATCAGTATGTATTTACATGTAGATGGGCAATTTTGGTAAACGTTTCAGTGGTAAGAATATAAAATATTCTAAACACAATACCAAAGCATGCCATACAGTTAGTTTTCTTTGTTTGCTTGATAACCATCAGTCCAGTAAAATTTGTTAACCCATGGCCTGTATATTAAATGACTGCTAGCGGTGATGACCCCCAGTTAGATTGTTAAGTAGACGGAGCAGTAACTGGCGGGGATGACCCATCTTCTTTAGAAAGATCTGCATTTCACTCCCGCAGGACAAATGAATTTTTTGTGCCAGGTTATTTTTGTTTGGCTTTTTCAGTTATTAGTAATGTCATTTTGTTAAAATATTTATACTGATGTTCGATTAAAAACAGAGTTGGAGTTTTTCATTTTTTTTACCACACTGATTTCAGTTGAAGACCTGCATGTGATGCATGTTTTTTGATACTGAATATAAGCTTTATGACAGCATATTCAAGCAGAAATGCTGAAAACTATTCAGAATGGTCGGACATTTGGACTGGCAGTAATGAAAAATTTGCTGGACCTAATGGATTTTTGTCGTCCAAAAATCACCCTATTCGTTTGAGACATATAGTACCAGTATTATCAGGGTAGCTTATTTTGTTTGTGAATGTGAGAGGTTTGAAATGGAAGTGAAAAAACATTTTGGGTCTTATATAATTTTATTAGTGAAGTATGTCGAATGATGACTGTAAATTCAAAAGTGCAGCTCTTAAATCTCTTGTCGGTCTTTGGAGCGACCAAGTCCAATTTTTTACCGGTCCAGAAAAATTTTGCCGGTCATGACCAATCGGACCGACAGTTTCTGCATGTCTGTATTCAAATCAAGGCAAAACAAACAACATGTCCATGTTTTCATTCAATGTTGAGGTAATATCCTGGTCTACATAGGACAGGTAGCCTGCTGTAAGAGGCTCTCATCTCACAGGGGGCCTCTACTCCTGAACCCTCCATCTTGGAAGTCACAGACCTGATGAGATATGCCATTTTATTTTGGCTAAAAACATCCTCAAAAGGTGCCTCCTAGAAACTGCCAGGGGAACGAGGGAGATAATTGGCTTTTTTTCTTCTTTTTCCTTTTTTTAAACCCGTGAATCTTAATGGTTGATGTGCAGAAAAATTCGAGCAGGCGTTTGTAACGTATCAGGTGTAGGTTTCTAGTGTCTGTAGCTTGCCACATATTCTAGGACTCTTGATAAGTAATGGCCTGGAAACACCTTCACTGATATGATTTGCTTGAAAAAGCGGAATGGATAGAGCAATTGCTACTGCTGCTGTTGTTGTTGTTGTTCTAGCTGTAACTTAAACATGCCTTGTTGCAGTTGATTACATCATTTAAAGTATTTGTAACTTCATGATATCTCCATTTACCCAGGCGACTTGAGAGCAATTTTCTGCATTTTTTGGCTTTGCCAACTTTCATCATAAAAACCTTGGTTACATAGAGCTGACCCTGTATTCTCATTGTGATGTATCATGACAAAGATTTCAAAGTTGAGGACCAAAGCTGCTTTAGCAATGCAAATCACTGCATGGGGCAGTGCAGTCAACTGTTTTTTATTTCCTGAGCTTCATAATACAATACATATTGCAATTCATATTGCAAAAGATTTGATGATTCCCCTCTTTGTTAAGCTTAATTATCATCATTTACCATAGAAAGTACTTTCTGGTCTGAAAAAGTCAAAAAAAAAAAGATCAATAAATAATAACAGTAATAATTTTGGAACCAGGTTTTACGAGCAAAACATCAATAAGAAACATTTATAAAGAAAATATTTAATCTTAAAAGAACAGCCTATTCACAGCTAAAACTAGCTAAAACGGCTTTTGCTGGATTTTATTCTAACTCAAAGCAAAAGTCGGGGTGTGATGAGCAAGAGCGATTATGAAGGAAGCTTTTGGAACTTATTTGTTTTTTAAAGGTGTGAATCCTTCGGATAAACCAGCTACAAACTGTAATATATCCATGGAACTGGTCATTACTTGCATTGTAATCCTTATCTTTAATGTCGGAGGGGGGAGAGAGAGAATTGTTAGTATTCAAAACAACCCTTTTTTTTCTGGAATCTTTGGTCCAGACCTGGTGTTGTTATCTGGTCAGACGGGTTATAGAGAGGAGAAGCATGCTATGATATTTATGAATGGAAGTCTTCTCTGCACCTGACTGCTGGATCACTGAGAGGGGAGGATTGCTTTGATGCTAGATTGTACTACTGGCTGGGAATGTGGGACATTTGTACACCATAGACACCGTGATTTTTTTTATTTATTTTATTTTTTAGGAGAGTAGGTTTAAAGAATTTTTTTTGTTAGGAGAGTAGGTTTAAAGAAATATGAAGATGGTTGTTAAGTGTGAATAACTTAAATAAAAGAAATTAACTTTATTATATGCAGTTACCTTCCATTCATTGTAATGTGCGAAGAGGATGATGAAAATTGATAGATATAAGGAGAAAGTTTAAAAGGGACAGAAGGCACTTTTGGGTGGCGTTTTAACTCAGGCAGTATACTCTAAGACGTATAACACTTAAAAAACATTCCCATTGCAGACAAAAGTGAAATTTGACACACTTATGAAGATGACCTACAAGGCTCCTGTTTGAAGTGTTTTCAAACCTTTCATGACGACTGCCTTTTAGGATGTGTATTGTGTCAAACTCATTTAAATGTATTTGTTATTGTTGGCGGCTTTGTAGTCTGAATTTTGACAGATGAGGTCAACCTGGGCAACTGAGGAATTCTCCACAAGTGCGCTAGCTTAAAAAAATTCAAAAGTACTTTTTTATTTGACATTTTTAGTGTTGCGTTAAGTCAAAGAAAAACTATACTTATTTAAGTAGCGCATAACACTGAGTGGTACGAGCTGGGATGCACTGTGTTTTGTTTATGTCGAGAATGATCGTTTACAGATTCATTGAAAATTGATAAGACCATAGGAGTACAAATGAGCATAAGGTAGTTTTTAAAAAATCTTGTAAACTAAATATGTATCTCCTTTTTAAGAACATGTACACTTCTGCAAATCTGTAAATAATTTTAAAACAGAAGTGGCAAAAGATACCTTTGCCTGAGGTGGTAATTGAAGAAAAAAATTAAAGGAAAACAGAATTTGTGGATATTAAATAATAAGTGATAAGACAAATATGCTTTTTTTTAAATGAAATTATTGTTTTATATTTGTTATCTTTATCTTTAGGACCTTAGAGAACCAACTAACCCCAAAATAGTGGTAGTCCTAAGGTGTAAAAAAATTTCATCCACACAAAAAGTTTCACAGGAAGCTGACTTCCGCTCAAGTCACGACCAATAATGGGTGTAACTGCTATATTTCACTATACGGCCTCTGTAGTACCATTCTCTTTGGGTTTAACTTAAAACTATTCCCAGAGATGGGGTTGAGGTAAACTTGAAGAGGACTCCAATGAAGCCTTTAGATGTTACGTGAATGTTACAATTCAAAGTAGCCTTTTGTCACTGTTCTGATTTAAAATCTAGAGCTCTATGTTGCTTATTTCAATCGAAGGCAAAATCTGTCTCTTTTTTTCTTGCTTGATGAGGTACATGAACTTCAGAAAAGTGTTACATTGTTGAG